AACAAACAGCCCAAAATTGTCGATTTTTCTTTGCAACAATCGACACAAAGGTCAAACTGCATTGTGAAAGCACGGCCACTTGTTTCGGCTCCCAACTAATGTCTTGCTGACATAAAAGATTGGGCCAAGTGTTGTATCCTCAGCCTCTTGGCACAAAACGCTAATTGAGAGTTAAACCACCGCAGCCAATCACTAATCATTTCTGACACACACAACCACCACTCAACACATTGATGGTGAATGCGGCAACGCTCGCACGTGACATGTCAGACCACTGAATGATGACATGAGCTCAGTGGACCATCCCAAAACAGCAAGTTTCATTTCTATCTCTAGCCTACTCAGCCGGAGCATAAATTAGAGTATGTTGTCCTAAAAAACACACAACGATGTGATTCGTGAAACGCATCCACGCTGATCTGGAGAAAGTGTAACACACTCGCATACTTCCTTGCATGCAACAGACTTTTCACAAGCAGCCTTGTGCTTGAAGCATATCTTCACATCGCCAAGCGCCATTAGCTTGGCTTTTCAAGAACGCACTGGGCAAAGCCACAAGTTTGAAATTGATAAGTCCTGTACGCACAGCCACGATTTCTAGTCTTATTTATTTGCAAACGCGGTGCCTGGATGTCATTGCATTTTATTTGAGCAGCCCGCACACATATCATATATTTTATTCCCACGCAGCCCATTCATTTTATTTCAGCACGCAGCCCCTTCATTTTATTTGCCAAGTCAGGAGTTATTCATTCTTATGCTGCACGTAATCTATTTAGCAAATCTGTAGGTTTCTTATGGTCTTTCGCAAACTCGCATGGGATGGCTTGTTACTCTTCGAGAGCCACGGCTCGAGTGTAGCGCCGTATGGCTCTCAGTTGGCTCCACCGAGAAGCCCAAAGAATTTGCCAGTCCAACTCCGAATGGCGCATTTAGAACGGCATTGAGGCTTAGCTTTGTGGCTCTGTATATCGAGAGAGCATTCTGAACGTATACTTCGCGCTACCGTGCATGTAAGCTACTCGGTCATCCCGGTATGCAGCCTTTAGCTCTCGGTGACCACCGATTTGGTTATTCGTTACCGTGCGGGATGTTAGGCCCGTTATTGCTGTCATTTCCTGTTGGCACCTAACAATGTCGATTACCAAATTCGTCTTGGTCTGACTACGGCATCCTTTGGAATGTGCAGCCCATTGTGGCGGCAGCGTCTTCTGTAGGTCCACAGGCGATAGAACCTTGTAGCAAATGAAGAACCCCCTTGGTGGTTGTGAAGGATGTTGACTCTTGGTCTGGTTCATGCATTGCGATCTGAGTGGTAGCCTACGTGTATGGGCATCCAGAAGCTAAGTGCGGTTCATGTCTGCGTAAGGTCTCGCACCACTTGATTACTCCCCTTGGTAGAGGACGCTATCTTTTTGGCCACGCCTTGGGTTGCTGTTTTGTAGTCGAACAGCAGACACCGGGGGCCATTTACCATCTCCTTTTTTGGCACTAACGACTCGTGTTGGAGATCCATCTTGGGTAGTGCACCTTCCCTTATGTCTCTGCCTCCAGCCGGTTGCCCTACCTTTTGCCCATATTTCGGCGTGGTGGAAGCGCCGATTACTGTGCGTTGAATAATCAGGTCCTGGAGGAACTGGGTGGACATTATGGACGTTGAGTTGGTGACTGATGAAGTTTGGATCAATGCCTGGCATGTCGTATGGTGTCCAGGCGAACACTTCGATGTTAGAGGTCAAGAATTCTATGACCTCTAATCTCTCAGCGCTGGACAATGCTGAGCCAAGCAGGAAGAACTTATCCGGGTTCTTCTCATCTATTTTTACTTCCACCAAGTCTTCTACCGCTTTCTGATCAGCCTCTTTGCCGACGTCAGCGAATAGTTCATTACTTTCTGGCTCTTCCACCGAATGAACGTATCCTTTGGCAGCTCGGCTTCCATTTGTTATGGCGAAGCACTGTTTTGACATGATCTGATCGCCATAGACTTCTTCAATCATACCGGCGTCATTGGGGAACCGCATTACCTGATGGTATGATGACGCTACCGAACGCATGGCATGTAGCCATGTTCTGCCCAGGATGATGTTGTAGGTGGAGGGGACTTTTAATACCCAGAACTCCACCTATTTTGATACACTTCCTGCTCTGACTGGAAGGATTATTTTGTCGACAGGCCACTCTGGCATGGAGTTGAATCCAATCAGGGAAGAAACTGCAAGTGCCAAGTCTTTGTCTTGCAGCTTTAGTTGCTTGAATGTGTCGTAATACATGATCTCACATGAACTACCCTGGTCAATCAGAATCCGCTTGACGTCAAAATCCTTGACTCGGAGAGTGACAACCAGGGCATCATTATGGGGACAGTAAATTCGTTCCAAGTCCTTATCCGAAAAGGACATGACGTTCGTTGCCTCTGTCCTCCCCTTCTTGATGGCAGGTTGGGCACCTAATACTTCCCTAAAGTGCTCAGCCTTCTTGATTGAGCCTCTGAGCTCGCATACGCGCTCAGGTTCAAAAACTCCATGAATTACATTGATAATGCCTTGAGGTGGTGCATTGATTGGCATTCTATTGGGATGGTCATTATGATCTTGGGGGGCCGGCTGCGCTCCTTCTTCAATGTATTTGTCCAAGTGGTCTGCTGCCACCAATTCTTCCAAGTGCTGTCTCAGTGGCATGCAATTCTCAGTTCGGTGCCCCTTTTCCTTGTGGAAAGTGCACCGTGATCTGTCATCGTAATTCTTCTGACCTTCCCCAAGCTTGGCTGGCCACTTGACAAAGGGCTCATCTTTGATTTCGCTCAGAATTCGATATATTGGTTTTTTGAACACCGTTATTATGGCAGTGCGGATTCTCAGCCATCTTTTGTCTGGGTCTTCTCCGTTATCTTGTCTGCCACGTCCGTTCTTGTTACTTCGGTCAACCGTGTTGACCTTGGCAGAGGTTTTCTTTTCTGGTGCTGCGGTCGTACTCGATTTTGCTTTAGCGCGTGCGCCATCCTCTTCTACCCTGATGTGCTGATGCACTCTCTCCATCAGGGCCTCCATGGTGAGGGGTGGCGTCATGGTAATTGAATCCCTTAGTCGGTTCCCTACTGGTAGGCCTCTTTTATATTGCGCAATGGCTAGATTGGTGGGGCAGTCTCCAATCTGGTTGAATGTCTCCCAGTAGCGACTGTTGTAAGATCTGAGGGTCCCTTTTTCACTCATGTCGATGGAGAGTAACTGGTCTATAGGATCTAAGGGTCTCTTTATCCCCCATGTCGATGGAGAGTAGTTGGTCAATCTCCACCAGTGTTTTGGTGTTTGTTCGGAACCTTGTTACGAACGCTTCTGCCAATTGAGCCCAGGAGGCTATGCTGTCTTCTGGAAGTTTCTCGAACCAAGTCAAGCCTAGGTCGCCAAGGCTTGATGGGAAGAGTATGCACATTAAGGCCTCGTTTCGCCTGTATACGGCCATGACTTGGCGAAAGTGGCTTAAGTGTGAATACGGGTCCGTCTTCCCTTCATATGTATTGAACTTCGGCTGAAGGAAGCCTGAAGGTAGGGGTGCGTTTTCGATCGCTGGGACAAACGGCGAGGTCTGTAGTCTTGCCAATGCCTTGTCCGTTGGTTCGTAGGCCGGTCGCGGTATTGGCATTCCAACCTCGACGCTTCCGTGCGTCCGAGGAGCCAACCGTTGTAAGGCCGAAACTCGGTGTGGATCCCTTGCCCTGGCATCCTCCTTGCATCGTGCTTTTTCTTCTAGCACGGTTCGTAAGTCGGATGACCTGGGCAGCTCCGTTTGTCTAGATCTGGTTTGGTGTGAATGTGAAGGCCAATACGTGCTTCCTTCAGTGTATGATCTTTCGGATCTCGTCCTCTCAGACCTAGAGTGACGAGTCCTTGAGGACAAGGAGTGAGTGTCGCCTGTCCTGAGGCTTCTGCTCTCTCCTTGGGAGGGCGTAGTATTCCTACTACGATTCTCTGAGTGGCGAGGGGGCGTCTTATGCTTGCGCCCCTCTCCTGTCGCCACATCTTTAGTCTTCATCTTGCGTTTCAAGGCCTCCATGTCCGCCGCCATTCTCCGAATCAGTTCATCCTGTTCCTTTACGCGATCTTCCAGGGCTTGAGGATCAATCCTCCTCCTTTGCCTGTCGGGACTTTGAGAGTGACGAGGGCTGCCATTCCGCCTTCCCCTGCCGCTCCTCCTGGAATTATGTTGCTGGGGCTCCAAGTTCGCCATGGGAGGGACAACAGGTAATCCCTCACGCCTTGCGCCCCCTTCTGGAGTTAGTCCGTCGACGGCGGACTGCGGCAAGTCTTCAATGTGTGCCATTGAATGAGAAAATGAGAAGCTTAGTCAAGAGGTTTTTGTTCTTGTCTGTTCTTCCCACAGACGGCGCCAATTGTACGGGGAGGAAATAATTCTCCTCGTATAATCCTGTTGACCAAGTCCACGCTAGAAAAGAAATGTAAGCAACAACGTTAAAATAAAAAATAAAAAAACTCATAAATCAAAATTTTGACTTGCATCATACTAAGTTTAAATATACATAATAAATGTAGATTTTGAATATATCCGAAATAACACTGGCTATGCTGAGCCACAGAGAAGGCCGAACTATCCTTAGCTCGGTCTTCTCCTTTAACTCATTACTTCGGCTGCCCCTGTTCAACCTTGGTGTGCTTAGATCAAACTTCCAAGTAACAAGTTCTGACCGATCTAACCAGATTGTGTCACGACCGGACTAATTCCGAAACCGGTCTTCCCAGAACATACTGCGACCGGACTAACTCCAAGACCGGCCTAACTCCGAGTTGTCTCTGGACCGGAGTAGCCTTACTCTTCCTTGGGCCGAAGCAACTATCTCTTTTTGGGCCGGAATAAACTCACCTCCTTGGGCCGAAGTAACTTTGTCTCCCCAAGGCCGGAGTAACCTTGCCCTCTAGGCCGGAGTATTCAGTACGGCCTTTTTACCTAGTCCTCTGCGTTTTGGGCCTCAAAACCCAACTCGAAGCTCGGCCCAATTTTTCCCAAAAATTACCCTCTCACCGGACATTTTAAAAAAGGAGATATACGGTTCAGTTATATTGACCATACTTATTTATTTATAAGTATTGTTATTTTACTTTCACTTATCAATATCTTTAAAAATGTTAGGATAAGATAAATATTTTAAAATTTATTAGTACATAAAACAGTGTATAGATAAGTATATAAGTCTATCACATATGAAATAGGTTAGTAATTTACCCTAAAAAAAAAAACCAACAAATGGGTAGGGATGGCAAAATATCCCGATTCGTCGAGTTTCTGACTCTCCCAACCATAATGAGATGGGTTTGGAGATGTTTGAATAGGATATGATCGGATTTGGAAATTTTTTTGAAAATCTGATTGGATTCGAGTCAGGGGTAGGGAGAGCATTTTTTTACCTGAACCTTACTTGCCTCACAAATATATTTATAAACAAATAATAATATTATATATATGTAATATGTGTATAATGTATTGTTGAATTTTTGTAGAATATCTATATATCTATTCTATTATTAAGTGAATGTCTCGATTGGCGTAGTGAATCATTGCTCTTCTTATGCCATGTGATAGTGTTTTTATTATTAAAAAAAAATTACACAAAGAGGTGGGTAAGACTTTAATCCATGATCATGGTTTAAGATTGAAGAATTCATACCATTTAAGCTAAGTACACGCTATAATATTAATTTCATTATTATTTTATTTTATTCTTACTATTTTATATTGCACACGCATCGCATGTATTACCCGCTAGTTATTATTAAGTGAAGTCCTCAATTGGTGTAGTGAAACTTTGCTCTCCTTATACCATGTGGTAGTATTTTTTATTTTTTTTTAAAAAAAAAAATTGCACAAAAGGTGGGCAAGGTTTAAACCCATGACCATGAGTTTAGGGTAATTCTACGTATACTATTGTTTCAACTCATTACACCCTTTAAATTTTTATTTTTTATAATCATTGTATAAAATTATTAAAATGTCATTCCATCTTAAAATTTGAAAACCTTAATTTTTCATTACTCCACATCAGCACCATCTCTACCGATAGGGGTGCAACTCGGGCGGGTTCGGTCGGGTTGGGGGTCTGCCCAAGCCCGACCCGAATTGTATTTGGCAGTGCCCAAGCCCGCCCAAGCCCGACCATGAACCCGAGCATTGCTGCCCAAGCCCGGCCCGAGCTTTGTATTTTGAGCTCGGGTTAGCCCGAATTGCCCGAATTACCCGAATTGCCCGAGTCCAGAAACCTGTAGGTAGATCTAAGGGTAGACATAAAAGATGCTAATCTAATGGTAGAAGACTAACAAAAAATAAATAAAAAATAAAAATTAAGACTAACTCTTTTACTTAATCCAGACGATAGTCACCGATCTGTGGCAGCGAGAATTAGTGGCGCAGATGAGACCATGGCGTAAGAGAGAGATAGATTCAGGATAGATTTCAAATCTGGTGCTATATATATATTATATATTATATAATTTATATAATATATTAAATTCAATTCGGGTTCGGGTTGCTCGGGTTGGCCATTGGTTCTGCCCAAGCCCGGCCCGAATTGCAATTCGGGCATCAAAATTTTGCCCAAGCCCGTCCAGATTGCAAGATATAGTTGCCCAAGCCCTAAAAAAACTCGGGCTGGGCTCGGGTTGCTCGGGTTGAGCCCGCCCGAGTTGCACCCCTATCTACCGAGGCACCACTGTCGCCGACAAGCCCCTCATGCCAGTCGCAGGCATTCAATCCCTCACCGCTAGTCGCCGGCACCTAGTCCATCTTTGTTTCACCTCACCACCCCCAACCATTCTCCATCAACTAAAATAAGGCCCTAAAGGAGAACATCTTTCAATTGCTTTCAAAGTTACCCACAATTGGGTTGCCAATACAAATACATCTATATTTATATATGTGTATATATTACATGCAATAAATTGAAAAGAGAAAGAGACAAAGAACCCATCAAGATTTTCCCCATATACACTAGGGCTTATTTCATTTACTTGATTTCACATATCTTACAAAGCAAAGAGATCTACAGAGGGATCAAGAGAGTGACAAATATAGTCTTGCATATATAACCGATTTTGGTATATATACAAAACTACATTCAAGTGCTATTATTAATTTTATTTTCTTAGATTTTGATATATTAATTTGGTGGAATTTGAATTATTGTTTTGCATCTAATCAAAACTGATACTAATGGGCACCCAAGAGGACCCAACCCATGGATCAGGGCCCAGTTCATATCCTAGTGATAAAAGCCTAATAACTCTGAGAAATCAACACTAGGCCTAGACCAATAACATTCAAACACTTGCCAAACCGAAGCCTAGCCACATAGGCAGACAAAGATCCTGCAAAGTTATTACACCCACACATCAGCCATTAATAAGGCTCTCATAACATTAAATACGACAACCTCTTCATGTCGGAGGAAACATAGACACTATGAACGATGCAAGCTAGAATGTAGACTTTCGGCCAACACGACAGTCTAGAATGGACAAGGAAATAATGAGTAAAGGATATAAGGTAGCTTTCGAAATACGTAAAAGGTTAAATTCTTTATTCTCTTCTTCTCTCTCTACATAGTGAATCTATCTAATTCTAATTCAATCATTGGAGGGTCTATCGAGGGATTACCTCCATTTTTGGACCTTTTTGCAAGCACATCCTGTGGGCTTTAAGACCAATAAAGCCGTTAGAAGTGTGGATCAGTCTGACCCATCTTCTGTTGGAATTACCACCTCATCAGTTGGCACCGTCTGTGAGAACTCCATTTTGGAAAGACAATTGTGTTCATTGTCGTCGAAAGGAACCCTGTAATCATCCACCCCCAGCATCAAAGTAGATGGTCACGACTAGATCTATGGCTTTCCAACGCAACGCTAGTAACCCCGAAGCTAAGTCCTCCAACCCAAATAACCTGCCTCCATATTTCGCAGAACTCACCAACAACATCAACTGACTGATTGAACAGAACCAAGCCTTGATCAATGCCTTACTCCAGCGTGACTTGCCTATCCTGCCTCCACCACAGCCAATAGTTCTCCCGCATCCAGAACAAGTTCACCATCACCATCAATTCCCACCACACGTGCCTTAAGGAATATTTCCACCATTCGCCCCGCGGCCCCAACTGTCGAATCTTGACGGTCTGTACCAGCCTCCGTCGGGCTCGCAGTCTCGTCAAGATATGCTAGCACCTTTCCATAACCACCTCTTACCACATCAAATAGCCACCCACGAAGGTAAGGCTAGCAGTGTTCAACCCCCGATCCCTGTTTGTGGGGATAATGCTCCTATCTGGGATGAAAAACTGAGGGCCATGAAACTCCAACTACAAGGGGTCATGCAGAACATGTAGCACAAGGCTTTTTTCATCGTCAACTCTCGTTTTACCGCTTCTATCTGGGATAAAGCTCTTTTCCCATGTTCAAGATGCCATCGATCGACACCTTCGATAGTACCACTGATCCCGTTGACCATGTAGAAGCATATCATACACTCATGATCTTACATGTTTTTCTAGACGAAATCATGTGTCGTGCCTCCCTTGTCACATTGAAGGGGTCAACACGCCTTTGGTTTAGTCAGCTCCCGCCAGACTCAGTCACTTCATTTCACCAACTCAGTGAATCCTTGTTAAGCCATTTCATTGGTGCTCAGTAACAATGGCATCCAGCCACTCAACTGCTAAACATGCGGCAGACAGAAGCGGAGTCATTACGCAGCTATGTCACCCGTTTCAACACCAAAGCCTTATAAGTGAAGAAAAATGATGACAAGGTCATTCCACAGCCTTCATGGCCGGTTTGCGTCCGTCTGATTTCTTCTTCTCTCTCTCCAAGAATCCCTCAACCACTATGGCCTCCTTTCTTGCCAAGGCCCAAAAATACATAAACGCCAAAGACTCTCTGGCAACTCGCCAAGAGTCCACATCCAAAGCCCCACCCTCAAAGAACAAAAGAAAAGAGCATGACCCCTAACCCTCGCAATATACGTATCGACCCCCATCACATCCAGATTGGCCTGCACGCCTGGACCGACCGGCCCCAACCTGCCTACCTAGTCGGTTCGAGCGGTACACCCCATTCAATTCACCCATGGAGCAAGTTCTGAACCAAATTCCACGAGACTATAACCTAAAATGGCCTCAACCATCCAGATCCCCCTCCAATTGATGGGATCAATCTAAGTACTGTCGTTTCCATCAAGACCATGGCCACAACACTGACGAATGTGTCAACCTCAAAGACTAGGTCGAGGATCTCGTCTACCAAGGACGCCTCAGTCGATTCACAACAGCTCGACCCCCACAGAGGCCTAGACTTGGCCCCCCAAAC